CCCAACCTCCCGGGTTTCCTTCTCAATTATTAACGTAGACCGTTGGCGTATGGTTGATTGCTCGTGTGTCGTAGCCAAAAAAAGAAAGAATCGCGGGATCGTCTCCCAGTTGAACAGCCGGGGGTGGTATGCACACAGCGTTGTACGAAGAGCTCGGGAGAAGCGTGCTTGTCTACCGTTCGCATCTTGCAATCAACCATTCGTTTGTTCATGGCAAGACATGACGCAGAAAGCAAGAGCCCAGATGGATGTTTCACCCTTCCTCCCACCCCCCACCCCGACACAGGTGGGCGAGCAGTGGGGGCGGGCGCTGTCTTTGTTGCGCGACATGCCCAAACGCGGCGTCAAGCCCGTTGTGATCAGCTACAACACGGTCATCTCGGCTTGCGGCAAGTGCGGGGAGGGTGACCAGGTGCGACGAATCCAAACATTAAAACGGATCATCATGAGCTAACTCACCGCATCCTTGTGAAGCAAAAGTACACGGATCACCTGCATGTCTTGCAGATCAACTCGGGCACACATGACATGGCATACACCTATGTCCTACCGGGACACACCCTTCCGAAAGAGCTGTTATAGCTCGAGCTGTAGGGATCTATCTGATCTGCAGTATGTGTGGAAATGTCGTCAGTACAAGCGGCAGTTGATTGGGCCGCCCGTCGGCAGTGCGCCGGGTTCCTGCCCGCCTGCCCACACGAATGCCGACGAATGAATTGCTTGACGGCAGAGATGATGATGGAGTATGCGGGTTCTGCCGCTGTCTGTGCAGTCGCGGGCGCCCGCTTTTGGTGCCTGTGAGATTTAGCAGTGTACACAGCGGTATGAACCGCTGACCCGTCCCCCCCCCCGCTGGCCAATGTACAGCTATGATAGGTCGTTGTTCCAAACATATTCGTTGACAAGGCAGGTTGCAGTCGTCGCATGGCGCGTGGGTGGTCTATGCAGCAGCAGCAGCAGCAGCAGCAAGGCAGAAGGTTGCCTTGCTCGCACGCTTTCTTGAGCTCGTAGACCGCGCGTGTCTGCCTGCACCTCCCGATGTAGTCATGTCATGGTCGTTTTTTGTGTTGTCCCTTGGTAGTCTGTACAGTGTGTGAGCTGGACCAACGACCCAATCACCATTGTTTGTTTGTCCCTTGGTGTATGGTACAATTATGTGTTTTTGACCAACGACCCGAGAACCATATTATTTTGTCCCTTTCGGTAAATGGTACAATTATGTGTGTCTGACCAACGACCCGAGCACCATATATGTCTGTCCCTTGATATTTATGGTACAATTATGTGTGTTGGACCAACGGCCCGAGCACCATGTTTTTTTTGTCTCTTAGTATATGGCATACAATGTGTGTTGGTGGACCGAGTACCCGTGCACCACAGGCGAGCGCTCGCCCTCCTTCTTCTTCAAGAGATGCCCGTCATCGTCCAGCAGCCTTCGGAGGATTTTTCTATTACGCAATCATGTTGGGGATATAGCTTGCATTCGGGGTAAGTCGCGTCAGGGAAGACAGGGTCTGCTGCGTACCCCCTCCCCTCCCCGTTGTTCGCTCCTCATAAACTCCAATGTCTCGCGGAAGGTGGGCCTCTCATCGTCTTTCATATCATATGTTTGTGCTGTCCCTTGATGTATATGTATATGTGTGTTTGTGTGTGTGTTCGTGTATGTTTGGACCGACAGGCGCTAGCCCTCCTCCGGGAGATGCCCGAGAGGGGCCTCATGCCCGACGTCATCACCTTCAACTCGGCCATCGCGGCCCTGAGCAACAGCGGGCGGCCGGACGACGCGGTGCGCCTCATGAGGGAGATGCCCCGCGCGGGCGTCGCCGCCGACGCGATCACCTACTCGTCCGCCCTGACCGGCCTCGCCCACGCCGGCCGCTGGGAGCAGGCGCTGTCCCTCCTGAGGGAGATGCAGGGCGCCGGGGTGAGCCCCACGGTGATCTGCTACACGGCGGCGATACGGGCCTGCGGGGAGGCCGGCAAGGGGGACGAGGCGCTGTTGCTGCTGAGGGAGATGCCGACGGCGGGGGTGACCCCCAACTTGTTCTCGTACTCGGCTACGATCTCGGCCTGCGGGAAGGACGGGCGGTGGGAGCAAGGACTGGTGAGTTTTTTTGTTGGTTTTGTTGTTTTTGTTGTTGTTGTTGTTGTTGTTGTTGTTGTTGTTGTTGTTGTTGTTGTTGTTGTTGTTGTTGTTGTTGTTGTTGTTGTTGCTGTTGTTGTTGTTAGACCCTTCTTTATGGAAACATAATCTTGCAATTATATCTTGGCATCTTGACCCAAGATTTGTTCACAATATATCTCCGCGAAGATTTGCAGTATCGCGATTTATGGGGGAAATATCTTGAATGTTGAAAATGCGGCGTGTTGTTCCTCTCTTCTGCTTGAAGTTGAAAAAGGCACAACGGCCACTTGGTCCACAGAAAATGCCAAGGTGTGGCGAAAAGTGAGCATGACGCAGTTGTAGAAGGGACATCCCTCCCCCAGCTGTATTGCCTCAACACTGTGGGTGAATACTAGCGATGGGCGCCTACCTGGGGTGCAAAATTGAATCCGTTGCCCACGAGCTCATGTCAAGCGGAGAAACAAAACTGTTCCATTGCTGTCCAACTGACAAGAAAGTGCATCAACCCGAGGCCGATGACACCCATGCACGTATCTCATGATGTAGCAGGCGTACCGAGGTCAAACCTCCGGCGCTGTCATCTGCACCCACGGATCTGGCTCGGGTGCAAACGGATTGGGTGTGGGGTGATTCGATGAAGAGATAGAAGCGTCACACACGACAGAGCAGTGTTGGCAAAACGTTCCTCCTGCTCTATTTTTCTACTTCAAAATAAAGTACTCTTTGAACGGTCCCTCCACAGACTGGTGATGACGCACGTGGAACGAGTCAGGGCAAATATGCATTTTTTTCGCGCGCCTTGGTTGTTTTCGTTCGCTGTCGGCGCCCGTGGCGCCGACACAGTGACGCCAGGGTGCGTTAGAGACCCTTGCGAGTGTGCCACGTGCAGATTTCATGGCGTTATGGACGATTAGGTTGACTGACCTTCGGTGATCGCGCCGCACTGAGGCAAGATTTGTTACCCCGCCTCAAGATTTGTCGGAAGGCTCGACTTGACAAATCTTGGGTCAAGATTTGTTCGAAAGGGCAGATTTCGGGCCTCGAGAAATCTTGGCCAAGATATATCGGAAGATTTTGTTCCCATAAATCGTGAAACTGACAGATCTTGGCCAAGATCAAGATTTATCGACAAGATTTTGTTCCTATAAATCGGGGTCTTATTGTTATTGTTGTTGTTGTTGCTGTTTTGGACCGTGTTTCGCGAGAATTCCAAGTTTTTGAGGAAGTAGAACAGGTAGGAGGGGGGGTACGCAGACCCTATATGTGCCTAACCCTAAACAACTTCACCCATTTGCATGTTTTTTATCCAACATGTCTAGTTACAACGAATTAGGCTATTGGTTTGTTTTTCGCGTCTAGTGGTTCCTCCAATCAGTCTGTCTGCTGTTTTGATTGTCTCTGCTGTGTTCCTCTCTGCAATTTTCTCTCCAGTTTTGTGCGCAGTGCCGCCTGTGTAGGCTGCTGCGTTACGTAAAAACAAACTGTCTATGAGTATTTGCAGTTGTGCTGCTGTTTGTCTTGTATGTTTGGGGAGTGAACCCCTTTGAAATCCCCTCCGAGGCACGAGGTATCTATCACGTGGGTAGAGCGAGATACGCTCGCTGGACCCTCTCGCTGTACCCGCGTTTCATGTTGAGATCTCACCATCGTCCGGGCTTCCCAGCTGATACATACCGGTACCTGCAGTCGCAGCAACACCTTGTGTGTCAACAACCAAACTTCCCTGGGTGTTCACCTCCCCCCCCCCCCCCCTACTTGGACGGCCCCATGGACTATGCGAAAAAGCTGAAATTGCAATTTCGAGTAGGCGATCTAGACTTGCCAGAACGGAGGAAGAGGTATACCAGCCGTAGGAGAGAGGAAGAGGAGGATAGACACACATGTCCATGTGGCAAATCGGAGGAGAGTAGACCCTACATAGTTGGGGAGTGTGAGTTGTACAGGAAGGAAAGAGAGGATCTCGAGGAGGAAATGAGACAGAGAGGGTGTGACATGGACAAGTTTGGTAAATTAGACAACAGCGAAAAAACGATCGCGATAATTGGGGATAGATGGTGGGCACAAGAGGCCCTAGAGGACGGGGATAAGATGTGCAAGAAATTTTTATGGGGTTTGTGGCAGAAACGTAAAGAGCTCCCAAATGTTGGTGGTGTCTCTAGTAGGTGTAGGAACGGTGCTCCGTCTCGAAAGGGACGCGTGGTCAATGGTCAAATGACTACGGCAAGCAACAAATGAGTACGCCCCCGCCCCCCCCCTACAGGGTAGCTTTTGAGACGCTGCTGATATCTAAGTTGATTTTGCGCGATTGTTTTTTTGAGGGGGTTATCAGGCTCTACTGGACGAGATGCCTGCCTTAGAGCTCGCGCCGAACGAGTTCTGCTACACCAACACCCGCTGGAGGGTAGCTTTTGAGACGCTGCTGATACCTGACTAACATAGCCCTTGCGCGATTGTTGCTGGGCGTTGTCCAGGCCCTTCTGAACGAGATGCCCGCTCTAGGACTCACACCGAACGAGTTCTGCTACACGGCCGCCATCACGGGGTGCGGCATCGGGGGGCAGTGGGAGCGAGCGGTGGCCACCTTCAGGTTAGCGGCCAGCCTAGCTTAGCCCCGGCATAAAAAAAGCAGCAGCATCACAATCAACAGCAACACCACCACCACCACCACCAACACAAACACAAAACACCAATACAAACACCAGCACAACACCAACATCAACACCAATACATGCATCGTTAACAAGAACAGCAACACCATGGTGTTGCCTTTGGTGTTGTTGTTGGTGTTGGTGTTTATCTTGTCGTTGTTCGTGTTGTTGTTGTTGTCGTTGTTGTTGTTATTGTTTGATGGTGACGATGATGGTGTTGGGGGGTCCGTTGCCTACCAGCCTCGCACTATTTAAGTAGTCCACGAAGCCAATCTCCGGAGTTGGCACCACACTATTAATACCTACTACCCTCGTCGACGGTGTGCATCGTCTCCTGTGATCATTAAACCGTTCGCTCCGAAAACCTTGGCACGCACAGACATAACATGTGGTACCAACGAAAAACTCTCACGACGATTTTTTTCATTGTTTTTCCACTGTCGATGTCAACGACACAGACCTACGATCGCCAACCGCACCCAGCCTAAATAAATATCACGACCATCTTTTCATTTTTTATCCTACCGACGACGGACACAGTGGTCCATGATCGCTAGCGGCATCCAGCCGACCGTGGTCGGGTACACACCTCCGCCGCCATTGGTTTCATGGATCATCACCTTCTCATTTATGTTCCCACCAACAGGTCCATGATCGCTAGCGGCATCCAGCCCACCGTGGTGGGGTACACGTCGGCGGTGTCGGCGCTGGCGCACTGCGGGGAGGTGGATCTCGCCCTCGAGCTGCTGAGCGAAATGAAGGAAGAGGCCGGCATCGAACCTAACGAACAGGTCGGTCGGTGAAAAATAACGGCGCTCTTTTTTTCGCATGGTATATTAGCGTAGGTATTCAGTCAGGAACCAGGCCAGTGAACTGATGTCACACGTATTCTTGGGCGTCGTTATTTTTTTTGTGCAAAGGGGCAAGAAAACCTCAAGAGACTATTTAAGCCCAGATAACCTCGTGGCATCCGTATGGTGCTTTCCATCCGGCCTATTGCCCTTCATCCCCACAACAAAGGTTTGGTCGTTTTCATTTTATTTGTCATTTGTTTTGGGACTCTTGTTTCGTCGTCTTTCTTTTTTTTTGTTTTGTTGTTTTGATCTCCTTCTTTTTTTGTTCAGACGTAGGCGGCCGTCATCCTGGCGTGCGGGACAACTTGTTGTCGTCGCTTTATTTTGTGTTGGTTTGATTTTTTTTTTCGACCTCCTTTGTTTGTTGTCTTGTCTTGTCTTGTCTTGTCTTGTCTTGTTGTCTTTTGTTTTTTTGTTCAGACGTATGCGGCCGTCATCCTGGCGTGCGGAAACGGGGGGCAGGGACACCTGGTGGCCCAAGTCCAGCGCGACATGGCGAGCGCCGGCATTACCCCGAGACTCACGGGGTATCTCTCGGCGATCCGCGCCTCCGGAGAGTGCGGGAACTGGAGCGAGGCGACGTCGCTGCTGGGGGAGATGGAGGCGGCGGGGGTTCCCCCCACGGTGTCGTGCTACAACGCGGCCATAACGGCGTGCGGCAAGAGCGGGAAGTGGCAGGAAGCGCTGGACCTGCTGGACGAGATGCCCGGGAAGGGGCTAGTGCGCGACTCGGGCACGCTGTCCGCGGCGATATCGGCGTGCCAAAAGGCCGGGAGGGGGGTGAAGGCGGCGGGGCTGGTGGAGGAGATGCTGGAGATGGCGAGGGAGAAGGGGGGCGAGAGGGACTCGCTGGAGGGAGCGGGTGCGGCCGTACCAAGTGAGATTGTTTGTTTGTCGTTGTTGTTGTGGTGGTTGCTGCTGATGCTGTTGTGTTATTATCGCTGGCTGTTGTCTTTTGCTGTTGTTGGTGGTGTGGTGATATTGGTTCATGGTCAAGTCTGCTGTTTTTTTCGTTCGGGCTGTTGTTGGTGGTGTTGGTGCTTCGTGTTGAAAGCAACTGTTTTGCTTCGGACGAAGGAGAGATGGGACATACTTCAGCAGCAGGAACCCGGGCTTTTGACCTTGAGCGCGCAGCTATGCCAGGAGCCAGCCCCAGCTTTGTCCAAAACACATCGACGATCAATCTCCCCTAAACAGCAGTGTCAGCCTCCATCATCATACCCTTAAACTCCAGCTCAATCCCATCCTCCCCATGGATCCCTTGTATCCTACGGACACGCGGCCCCCTCATATCCCCGTGGCCCCCTCAAGTCAATAGCTTAACAGCAATGCCGCGTGTCCGGTGTTTCTTGTGATGAACGCTAAATGACGCTTTTGTTTCGACCCCTCAAGTCACTATAATAGCAGTGCCGCATGTCCAATGTTTGTTCTGGCGAGCGCAAAGCACGCATTGTTTCAACCAGGCCCTCGCGCATGCCACCCTGCTCGCCACCGCGCTCTATCGGGTAGCGGCAAGCAGGGTGGCATACACGAGAGCCTCGTTGTCCCAAGGCGTGATTTGCTTTCGTCTGAATAAACCCTTGACTTGCGGCCCTGCTGTGACTTGATGGTGGCACAGGAATACAACGGGGCCATGAGTTGAGAGCATATGAAGGGACTCATGGGAGGATTTAATTGAGCGGGAGTTTGAAGACTATACTGGTGGAGGCTGGCACTTTTTTCCTTCTTTTCGATCGCAGTTGCGCCGCGACTCACTCCACCCCCCCACCCCCCC